AATAGATAGAATATTTATGCTTTAAAAATGTAAATAATACACATAATATTACCATTATTATTTATTGTTTAATTTAGCCGTTCACTATTTTTATACACTCCTGCAGTAATCAATTAATTAATTGGTGTAGTAACAAACAATATTGTCGTCGGGGAAGCTAATAAACAACGTGACCAACATTTATTACGAGTTCGTTTAATTTGTTGTTTGGAATTTTGTTTCATTGCTAGGAAATAATACCAGTATGTTATACTACTATACGTAATACTTACATCCCATCTTTCTTAAATCGAAAAGTGTAGAATTCACATTCGTTAAAGTTAATTATAAAAGTATTTTCACAATGAATTTAACAAGAGTGGACAAATTGGTTTTACGGCCCGACAAAAAAAGTAAGGAACGGTTTTAATCAACTACTGTTATTAGTGTTCGTTCCCAACAATACAAATTAAATAGGTATTATCTTTATTATAATTATTTATTACTATAATATTTTATATGTATACTCTAATAAGTAATTATCTAACCAATTATATGTTATAACGTATAAGTCATAACTAGGGCTGTGAATTTAATGCACTAAAAAACCTTAAAAAATGCATTAAAAACGCCAAAAAAATGCAATAAAATATGCACTTAAAATGCAAAAATAGGAATATAAAATGCCAAAAATTATAGTATAAAATTCATTTAAAATGGTTTTTATTTAATTTTTATATTTATATTAATATTAGATACAGGATATTAAACATTAGTACAAAAAAGTGTTTATTTAATAAAAAAATTGATTGAATCTGAATTAAGTTAATGCTATTCACCTGAAATATTTTTAAACATTTTTTTTTTTTGTTGTATTTATTTTGTTAAAATAATAAAACAAACTTAAAGATATAAATACTAAAAAATGAACCAAAAAAGCAAAATATGACCTAAAACATTAAAAACGTCAAAAAATGCAAAAATATGCAAAATAAAAGTTTCATAAATGGATTCATAATTACATAATTCAAATTATGTACTTACAAAGCTATGTTTTACAATCACCAAAAAAAAATGCACTTTCCTATAAATTCACAGTCTTGGTCATAACGGTACATAACTACAATCTATGATTCTATGTTTTATAAATAAAATTGTCAATATTATTTTTTTATTTTTTTTTTTCAGATATTAAATCGCTTAAATATAACAGTAACAAGTAAAACTGAATTAATTACTATACATAATTTCAGTTCATTCAAACTATGGCTGATCTTTTCCGATTAATACCCTTCTTTGTGTTCGTGGTCGTTCCATTTCTCAAGTTTACTTTGCCTATTTTTATAAAGATTTTTCCTGGTATGTTACCTACTACATTCGAAAACATAGGATCAGAAGATTTGGTAATCCTTTAAAAAAATTCACCTTCTACTTTTTTATAAATTATTTTAAGAAGCAAAACACAAACAGTCTCTTAAAATGAAACTTAAAATGGCTAAATTTCTTCAATGTTCATGTGTGGTAAAGGGTTACAAGTGGATTTGTCAAAAGATTTGTGGACTTTTTTACAAAAGTATTTATGTGATTTCGTAAGTTTTTAATTTTTATACATTTTATCTTCAATTACACATTAGGTAAGAAAAGGTGTTGTTATGCCAGCTGATGAAATGCTTAAGTTTTCAAAGATGAAATTACCTTTGACTTATTACCCCGACCACAATTGGTTGCACTATGTTGAGTCTACAACCGATTGGGACTTAAAATAACTAACTTCGATCATCAACAGTTGATAATATTTTAAATTTTATTATTTTATTACAGTATTGTTTTAAATATTTAGATGATTCAAAATGAAAGCGTTGATTCTCTAACATTGTGCATTTGTGCGAGCTACAAGACGCCTGTTAAAAAAGTTACTTTTTTTTGTTTGGCCGTAAAACCAATTTGTCCACTCTTGTTATATTCATTGTGAAAATGCTTTTAAAAACAACTTTAACGACTAATGTGAATTCTACACTTTTCGATCTAAGAAAGATGGGAGATGCAGTGGCGGTTTTGGTGGTGAGGCAAGTGAGGCGGTGCCTCACCTAAAAATAGGTATTGGATGAGAAATATGTTGTGTTAAAATAATTGGTAATTACTAAATACATTACATTTTTGTTTCTTTCGTTTGTATAATATTATATTATTAACAGTCAGAATTCTGAGATAGTAAAACGTCAAAAAAAAAAAAAAAAATTACATTTTAAACAAAAATTATTTTGTAGTTATATTAATATTATATCATTTGTATCACTTAATGCGGGAGTACAGCTGTACGAGAACGGGACACAAGTTGTGAGGCTAAACGTCACGATTTTTTTGTCTGGCGGTCGACTGGTCCTCGTAATCTACCGACCGTACCAATAAGAGTCATCCGCTGCCGGTGCCTTTCATGTGCTGGTGTATTAAGTATTACTAAATTACATGTAATCCGCACTAACACGCGCCGTACGCTAACACTTGCACTCCATAGACGATGATTGAGGTGGCATGTAAACGTTGGCTCTGTATCTCGGCCGAAGAAAATACACAAATTTAATTATTGAATTATCACGGCTAATAGATATAACGGTATTAATTATTTTGAACAATTATAAAGTTATAACTTCAAGAACTTTCGAGCCTCGTTAATAATATGTGAAGGCATCATCATAATATGGCATAAGTTCTGACGATTTTCAAGCTATTTCCATCATAAAAAATTCAAATATAACTCAATTTGAATTTTTTCGATGACATATTTAAGTAGCAATACTCTCACAGGTGCATAGATTATAAGAACAAACATTTAAAAACTTACAACTACTAACTTTATACATATAGGTATACATACAATATGTGTTATAGCTATCAGAAGTTAATTCTCATGTCTTACTTAATACACATTCTTTCTTATGGTAAAACGAATTAAAAAAAGTTTAAGGTTCAGACATAGTTTTAAAAAGATGTTTTTCATAAATAGTGATGACTGATGAACATATTTTCTTTTAAATTTATCAACCATAACACAGAGGATTATAGTTGAAACACAATAAATATTTAAAAAAATCAATAAAAAGAAAAATTTTTTTGCAATGTGCTATTAACAAACCTATTTATTTAAAAATCATTATATGTCCAAAAGTACACCACAGTCAAAAACTTGTATCATATGACGGTACTTAAATTACTAGGAGTGGTACTTAAATTACTAATATTTTACATTAAATGAAGGATCCCATACATGTATTTATTAAATAAGCTTAATTTTTATTGTCTTCAAAATCTTAAAGTAATAACTAATAAATTTAATGGTACTTATTTAAATTATGCACAGATTTTTCAATGAATTCATAACATGTATTAAATTGCTTTATACAAATGAGATAGTTTGTATGTATTTTAACATTAAGCAGATTATTATGTTATACATTTATGTAGTTAATGTAATTGACTTTATAGAACATAATAATATCCAAAGGTCACAAGTATTCATATTTTTTTTGTTTTACAGCAGCTTTTTTGTCGATTAACATTTTGAGACTATCAAATTATTAACACAGAAAGAAAATATTAAATTATTTATTGAAACATATATTATAAATACATAAATCATATCAAAACAACAAATTTAATTATGATTATGCATAGAAAACAGAAAATAAATGTTTTTAACAATGCTTAGGCGTATTAATAATTTTTACCATTCAACATTAAATTTATAAGCTACTAAATATCCTAGCAATAAAAAAAAAACCAGACTGATCAAACCTTAGCTGATCTTTAAAATGTTTGTACCTATTTTATAGAACTTCTATGCAATTACTTTATCCATTTATTTTTTAAAATCAATTCGAAACTACTTTTATAGAAAATGTAGCTCATATCACAAAAACTAAAAGATAGATTAGTATATATATATATACAAAAAATATTGTCCAAAGTAAAGCATTTGTAATGTCATTAATATAAAATTATCTTAAAATAAAGTTATTGTTACTAATGTATAGATACGAATTACTCCATATCATCATGAAAAAAGATAAAAAAAAACTACAATAGATAATTATTCTCAAATACAAAAAATGTATTACACTACTTACTTAACATTTAATTACAGATATATAAAACAATAACATATATATTACTAAGTAAATAATATGGAATTTTATATTATATGTATATTATTTGTTTTATTTTTATTTTAAATTCAAAATCCTAATTTTATTTATTTATTTTTTTTTTTTTTAATATAATTTTACAATTATATTGGATTTTGTTTGTTTATTTTATTATGATTCATTAGTTTATTTATTTCCTTAAATACAATATTTGTTTAAGTATAAATACATCATTTATGTTCTATTTTATAAGTATAAAATAAATTTAAACACAGTATGGAGCATTATAAATTGTATTTATTTTAGATTTAATGATGATAATCAAAGACAATTTAATTTTTAAGTAAATGTATTGTGTATAGTGTATACAGTACAGACAAATTAATAAGTTATACTTATGTGTGTAAATTACAGATAATATATATAGATAAATAAATATTGTGTTATACATGTAATAGATTACTTGATGTAATATGAGTAACAAATATATGGAGGTAATACTGTAATAACTATTTTGTAAGAACATCGAACAAGACAATATTAATGTTATTGTTAAACTTGGTGAATATATATTTTGATAACACATTTAACAGGTAGTTTATAAAATGTAATATTGAAGCTTTTCATTGAAAATTTGCCAGTTTGTTAAAATGAATATATTTTTTTAAGCCAATCAGCCCTAAATACTGCCTATCTACCTATTTTTTTTTTTTTTTTTTTTTTTTGTCACACTTTTCAAATTTAAAAAAAAAAAATAATGACTATTAGTATATTGTAATTTGAATACTTTTAAACATTTTTAAGTATTTCTTATAGTTAATTTACAAAAATTATACAATAAATATGTATTTGTATTTTTTTAAATAAAACATTAATCCATTATACATCAAAACTTTTTATTACAACCAAAATACACTCTTTAATTTTTATAAAAATACATTGATCAGACAATAAAAAGGTATCAATATTTCTATAGTTAAGAATTTAAGTGTAAACAAGTTACTACCAATAACAATAATATAATAATGATAAGCTCGCTGAATTTGTATACATATATTTGTTTTTTTTTAATGTTTACATAAAACTGTCTGAATCGTAGCCAGAATAATCAGTGTTGGCTGTCATATTTTCCGTTTTCATAAGAGATGAGTAAGACCTGAAAATGATTATAAAATAAGATAAATATTTATTGATTTATATTTTAATCAAGTAAGAGCAATTGTAAATAAGGGCTGATAGTAATCATAAAAAATGATATTTTCATTTTTTTTATGTTATATTACAATAGTTTTAAGTTAAAAATATATTTTGTTATTGTGCATTAGAATTACACACAACAATTTGAGATTATGTAATAAAATATTTCATCTGATAATACCACTTATTTTCAAGAATATAGATAAAAAGTACAACTATGTTTTATTATTATTTTGATTGTGCATAACATATAGTTTAAAAATCCTTGTTTTTTTTTTTAAAAGAATCATGTATTTAATTTAAGCACAAATGCAAAAATAAAAATAATCAAGACAATATTCAATTTTATTTATAAATATTGCATTATATATTTACAATTGCCCCACTTCACCTAACTATAATATTTTATAATCACTTTAGTTCAGCGGCTTCGCGATTTCTACGTTCTTCTTCCTTTTTCTTTTCTAAATTAATTTTTCTTTCTGCTTTCTTCTTCTCAGCTTCTCTTCGATCCCTATCAGCTCTCTCACTTTCATAATCAATTACTATAGTTTTTTCGGTCTTTTGTAATCTATTAACAATAGCCTTCTCTTTTTTCACATTAACCTTTTTTACCTATAAAATACAAAATAAATTTTATGAATATGTTATGCTATTTATGTAAAACTAAAAACATATTTTCATAAACATTATATAAATATATGATACAGTCAAAGTATATATTAAGCAGGATTGTATACAGAGAAATTTTTTTTTATCAAACAGCACACATTACTTCAAAATCTATTAACGCTTATGGAAATATTTTATTGTAAATAAATTTCATTTAAAATCAAACATTTTTTTTTCTAATTATATTTTTTAATTTTCTTTTTTAAAAATATTATACATTTATAATTTAATATTCAGAAGCAGAATATTTTTTTGAATATTTCAATACATAAAAAATCAATATTCAGACATAAGTTTAAAGTATTTAAAACTTAAGTGAGCGTAGTAGTAGAGCAACATTTTATAACGGAATATCTCCATTCACTCCGCTTTCCTCGCAAAAATTTTAAATACTTATCACTAGGATTCAGATTTTATAACATTTGCTAATTATTATAAGATAAAAATAAAAATAGTAGAATGAGCTATAAATTTTTTTTATGTACCAAGGACTCCAAATATGAAATTTTAATTAGCTATTTTTTTGCATATTTAAAGTGTTTTAGATTTTTAGTGTTTGAAGTTTTGTTGATATTTTTATTTATATGCACAATATAATGTATTATTTTGTATTTTTCATAAATCAAAAATTTAATTTATATAGATTGAAAAATAGTCATTATAATTATCTACATTAAATTTCAACATTTTCAATTCATATTAAAAGATATTAGCGATATCAAATATTATATATTTCTAACTTATTACTTGTTTTATTTTATTATTGCTTACTTTCTAAAATATATAAAATATACTATTGTAGTGTTGTAAGTGTTTCAGCACCAGGCAATTATCTATATCGTTTGCATTAACGTAAAATGCTGAAAGATAAAACCTCATGCAATTCAAAATTTAAAAAATTTGTGTCCGAGTTTGATAAAAGATTTTTTTGAGCAAAGTGAGTGTTACATTATGTAAAAAAAGAAAATTTAACGTTAAGCAACACATAAAAACTGATAAACATACAGCGGTCATTAGATAACAGAAAAATAAAATTTAAAAAAAACATTTACGAATTTTCCATAAAATCAACTTTTAAAATTGATCATTCCAAAACTCTTATTTTTGCAAATATACTATTAAACAAGTTATCTAATGATAAATGTCAATAATTTTTAGTATAATATACTAAAATTCAATTCTAGACAAAATTAACATTGTGAAAATTGTACATTAAAAATATTTGCAATGAAACTATTAAAAAAAAATAAAACTAAAGTAGCTAATAATCTCATTAATGTGAGTATCAATGAAATAACGGATATTGAAAGTCACTTTATTGCCAATGTTATTATTGGTCCTCTAGAGATTGAATATTCTGGATCCATACTTTAGAAACAATAAAAATACCAATTTTTCTTTGGTCAGTTAGCTTATTGATAAATTTATGAACTACTTATAAGTTATAAGTAGTAGTTTGGTTATAAGTTATAACCAAACAAACAACCATGTACTATTATTTGTTTCAGGCGCAGCACCATACAAGAAAAAAAGCTGGAAAATCATTAAAAATGTTTTATTTGTAAATGGTACATGTAATATGTGCAAAAAATTAAATGGAGATCTTGAAGAACTATTTAATGACAATAAGTATATTTTAAGTATTTCCTAATCACATTAGTAAATTTTTTAAGGTTTTTTTTTTACTACAGCGCATATTTTGGTACTTATCAGAACTATAAAATCTGAACCCTGCTTTTAACTCATTAGCTACTCATGCAAAAATGAAATGTATACTTAATTTTAAAATAGTGTTTAGTTTTTTAAAATATGTAAACACTATTTAAACAAATAGTCAATGTATAAAGAATAATGAATTGTTATTAATTTTCTCAGAATAATTCTGGAATTAGATAAAATAATCAGTCAATTTTACTTATTCTATTATATCAAATAACTAGAAATTATTTATAATAACTGAATTACACACTTTGACTGTAGTATGTATCAAAATAAATACAAACATACACTACTAGGATTAACAAATGACACTTCACCAGGTTTCATGCCTGGTAATTTTTTGAGATTTGACCACATTGTATAAACAACTTTTACTTCAGCTAATTTGCATCCTTGAATACTGTTTGCTTTAACCAATTGACATGCGTCTTCTAATAATTGTTTTGGTATATCATCAATAGTTTGGCCCTATAAACAAATTGAACATAAATAAAAGAAGCTATTCATTATGTTAACAGTACAACTCATACATGAATATACTAAATTATATTTAAGAGGACACCACTCCCGAATGTGTTTTCTCTGTGAACTCTGTCTTACATACGAGTACATACAACATAGAAAATTTGGTTTAGCAACCATTATGTGTTATTAGCTTTAATATCAGAGTGAATTTACCTACTAACAAAATTAAAAGTTAAGATATTAATTTATCAAAAATTATATAACATTAAAAAATTTTCAGTATTTTAATTTTTAAACTAAATATGAGTGTTTTTAATTTATAATGTAATAGATACTCGTATATTTTGTAAAAAAAAAAATAAAATATTGAAAAAAAATCTAACGCTACATCACTAATAATGTTCTAACTTTTAATATTGACAATAAGTAAATTCACTGTAATATTAAAGCCAACAACACACATAGTTTCTATTAAACACAAATTAGGTATGCTACATGTATAAGAGATGAAGACAAAACATACGGGCATGATGTCTTCTTAATAATAGATTAATCACATTAATATTTACTGATTAAAACAAAATATAATGTTTATTGTTAAAATCTAAGTGAAAACTTTTTATTTTAAATTTTAGTTATTATAATCTAGTTTACTAGTTTGTTAAATGTAATTTTGAATGATTTCTACTGTATTTAAATAAACAAAAAATAATATTTGAGTAAGGGCCTACAACTTTATCCAATTCTTATTAATTGAGAAAAAGCAATTTTAGCTTTATAATTGTAAAAAAATATTGGTTTCTTGCTAACAAAATATAATACAAAATAATAATATTTTTATGATATAAATACATCAAACTTGATTTTTAGGTTTAATAATGATTCAAATGCTAAAAATAGTACTTACAAAGAAAATTTAAAAAAAAGTCACTTAAGGACTAAATTTATCAATTAAATTTCAACGCTTTGGATATATTAATAATAATTATTATTATATATTTCACTATGAAATATTTTTTGATTACAGTTATTATATAAAAAAAAATATGTAAATATAATTAAAATTTTAAAGTAAAATTATTTAAAGTATAAAGCTATAAAATTTAAACATTTTTATAAATTATGGGACTTGTTGGGCTACAACCTATGTAATTGAACACTCGACTAAAATCAATTAAATGCATCACCTATACTTTAACTTATACTTTTTAAAGGTCAAAAACAATAATTAATTAAAAGTAACATAAATTTGATAAAATAATTCAACTATTAACAATACCTCTTTTAACCTTAAATACACATGTGCTGATGAGAGGCTATCAACATGAAACCACACATCTTCAGGTAACATATTTTCAATAAGTTCATCATCTGAAAGAAAAATAAATATTAAAATTAAAACATATTTTGTTTATTAAATAATAATTAAATTTAAATATATTTATTTCTATACCTATATTATAAGTTATAACCTATTTTTTATGGTAAATTTTATAATGTTTATCTAAATTTTTAGTAGAAAAATATAAATGTTGATGTTAATGACAGTTAATTATCACATTCAAAGATGGATGCAAAATTAATGTTAATAAAAAAAATTAAATACAATTATATACATTGACTTTTTTATCCACTCTGAATAATAAATTTTTATAGAGTAAAAATAGAAAAATCAGAATGTCTAGGCACATTGAGTATATTTTTAAAATTAAAAAACAGAAAGTAAATAACCGCCCTTCTATTGAATGTACCTATTGTCATTAAGGGGGATGTCTAGACAACAAATATGTTATTCAAAACAAGAAATAGAAAATAGCTGCTTGTGTAAAAACTAATGCGTCGATTTCCTTAGAGTTTGTACTAAAAATTTAAGAAATATATCATCTACGTACGCTCTTTTTTTGATTTCTAATTTTTTATTCCAATTCTTTTAAATAATTAAAAAACTACAATGAAAATGTTACGAGTGTTAAATAATAATATTTTATTTTTGTTGATTGATATGATTTTTTTTAAAAAGAGCGTACATCGACAATATCACCAAGAATTAAAAAAAATTTATTTAAAAAAAATCGAACAAATTTTAATATGTAAAATAAGTTATTTCTTTTCAAAATAATGTGACCAGCAGCTGGCGATTCTAGCGGCAAAAACCGATACTCTTTATAGGTAGTTACACAAAAACAATGTGTGTATAACTGCGGTATTTCAAACTCGTAAACAATTCTAATTTTAGTAATCGATACGGACGTCATTACGGGAATTCGACAAAAGCGTTATTTACATATTATATTTTATAATTCAGGAATCGGGATACTGTGGTATTATTTATATTTCATATACATTTATTCATAGTTTCAATTTCGCGTTTTAAACTTGGCTATTGCTATTGTATAGTATAATGTCAGATTATCGAAAAGGTAAAAAAAGTCATTTAAGGCTCAGTGCTCTCCGTAAAAAACGTAAGTATGTCGGATTAGTTAATTGGAGAACTGCACAAAAAGAAAAGTTAGTATCTACTTTATTAATTATTCTTCATACTTATCTTAACTAAAATATAACCTAGTATTATAATGTCTTATAATTTTTACGATAGAAAAAATAATTTGGAATATGATTATGTTATTGACCCGGAAACAATTTCCGAAAATAATTATTCACACAATCAGCGCGGCGATGAAGCTTCTAATTCATTGTCAAATGAGGCTGCAATTAACAACTTGATGTAAGCATTGATAATATATTTATTTGTTCATAATATTATTTATTATTTATACACAATTATAAATTTATACCACTGCTGTATTGCTGTAGTCTATAATATAATAAAGCAATTAGTTACCTATTTATATAATTAATAATTATACATAAACAATAATCAAATTTGAATTATTCGTGATATTATTACCTATTATTATGCAATATTGTTATATCGAAATTCTGAGCGGAGCGATGAATAGGTATATAGATTTTACAATTATTTTTGGTTTTGTTTTAAATTTTTTTTTTGTGACTGTACACGATTAGTAGTCGAAATAATACTTCAATTTTCAACTTCAGTGTCTTATTCGATGGGAAAGTAAATCTAGTTTCTGATGGTGCATCGAAAAGGTTAAAGTTCCCAGTAATTTTTAAAATCACCATGAAAACCAAAACAAAAAGGGTGGTCAAGTGTTTAACCAATGGCGAACTGGGAGAAAAATACAGCCCGGGAAAATCATAATTTTAGCGGCCCTCAGTATACTAACGGCCCTTTATATATATAATTATTATATACTTTTGTAAACACAATTTAGCTTTTAAATTTTTAAATATTTTAATTATATTTTATTATATTGATTATATAAAATAAAATAAATATCGCTCTGCTGTATAGTAGTGATGGAGAGTAGGTTACTACATTGGTCACTATAATGGATGTGTTAAATTTGAATGCAATGACTGGTATCATTGACCATTGTATACGAAAAACGATTCTGAACAGAGATGATTTGTCAGACAATGATAATTAGTTGGATACATTACATTATTACCTATATTTCAATAATTGTAATAGGTACTCGTATATCGTTATTTTACGCGATTTCGTAAAAAATTAAATTTCATACGCTCATAAAATTTTTCTATATTGATGCTGGATTTTTTTACAGTTACTTGAAGGAAAACTTATGGATAACCTTGTATTAGATTTTTGAACCTTAAGTATTAATCACAACAATTTTATGAATTTTCAACTTCAAAATTCCTTGCAAATTTTCGCGATTTTGATATATTTCGTAAACATTTAAACTTTAAATAAAAATTGTGACAAATAATTTTTGATTTTTTTTTTTACTATGATAAGAATAACTTATAATAAACCTTGTATTAAAAATTAGAGATTTTTTGGAAAGCCAAATTTTTTTTGTCGGCATTTTAAGAAAAAAAAATTAAAAAAGTCGAAAATTTAAATTGTCTATAAGTAGCTAAGGTCAAAATATTTTGAAAATTTAATCGTAAATATAATCATAATATAAACATTTGGTGAAAATTTCAAGTAGGTATTTTACAATGATTCGTTTTTGAGTTCAGCAAAATCAAAAAATCAATTTTATCGAAAAATGATTATGCGTGAAAACTCCCGTTTTTTCTTTATTTTTTCAGGGTTTTTACCGACGCTTGTGCAAACTACTAGAAATTTTTTACTTTTGACCCTTCAAAGTATCAACTAGATGAATTTTCCTTTACAAAGAGGGGCTAAGTCAAAAATCGAAGCATTATTACTACTTCAAAACGTGATGAGACAGAAAAATAAAGAAATTATAAAAAAACACACATCATTGTAATATCAATACATTCATCACTCCGTTCAGAATCTAAAAATAAAATGAATAACTATTTGAGATTTTTGATTTTTTAGATTCTGAACGGATTGAGTTTACAATGATGTGTGTTTTTTTTTTTTATTTTATTTTTTTATGTCTGACAACATTTGGAGCAGTAATATTGCTTCGATTTTTGACTTCAGCCCCTCTTTGAAAAGGAAATCGAATCTAGTTGGTGTTTTGGGGGGGTCAAAAGTTAAAAATTCAATATTTTTTAAATGAATCGGGAAAAACCCTAAAAAATGAGGGAAAAACGGGATTTTTTACGCAAAACCAGTTTTCGACAAAATCGAATTTTTATTTTGTAATAACTCAAAAACTAATCGATGTAAATACTTGAAATTTTCACCAAATGTTTATATTAGCGTGTTCCGTACATAGATAAATTATAATATAATTTATATAATTATATTATAATAATAATTTATATAATTATAATAATATAATTTTTATAGCGATGATGAAGATAATTTACCGCCTTTAGTTGTTGAATATGGACCACCTAATCCTGCTCTAGATCCACTATTAAATCAAATTAAAGGTCGCTATATTATCGATGGACAACATTTTTTAAAAAGTATTCGTTCATTAGAAATACATCGCGAACGGTGTGTTAAAAGTACTCAAGGATGGTTCAAATTAGTAAAAAGTAGATCTCGGGCACTTTTTTGGTATTTAGATTTTGAATGTCCATTTTGCAAAGAATTCCGAACTGTGACCAACGAACCATTGCATACAGATATAGAAAAAAAATTAAATAATCAGGAGTGTCATAAAAAACTAACTATAGCTGAATCTACAGTTTGGGGAGTCATTTCGGCCGGTTCTGGATTTCGTCAATTGGAAGAAATATTTTCACATCTTGGAATAAAATGCATGTCAAATAGTACATTTATGAAATTAGAACAGAACATTGGTGAAGTAAGTATTTTTTACAAAAAAAATAAAAATAAATTTTAATTTTATTTTTAATTTTATAAAAATAAAATTTTTAGAATTGGAAAACTGTATTCACGGATGAAATGATTCAAGCTGGCAGAGAAGAAAAAATGCTTGCATTACGAAACGGTGATGTAACAGAAAAAGGTATTCCATACATTACAGTTATTGTCGATGGTGGATGGTCACACAGAAGTTTTGGACACCGTTACACAGCATCATCAGGAGTAGCGTGTGTAATTGGTTGGAGAACAAAAAAACTTTTATATGTTGGCGTTCGCAATAAATATTGTTATACATGTGAGTACCGTAAACGTAATAATATTTCAACTGAACATGAAGTATGTTATAAAAATTGGAATGGAACATCCGCGGCTATGGAGTCTGACATGATTGTGGAGGCATTCTGTAGTAGTATGGATATTCATGGCTTACAGTATAGAGTAATGATTGGTGACGGGGATAGCAGTACTTTTAAAAAAATCAAAGAAAATGTTTCTTATGGACGACATGTTATAAAAAGAGAATGTGCCAATCACGTAGTAAAAAATTATACTAAAGCTTTATTCAATCTTCAAAAACAATTAGGAAATAATGGAAAAAAAATACTACCAAATACAAAAATCATGAAATTAAAAGTGTTGGCAAGAATGGCTATAACATATAATTCAAAACACAAATTAGGTGTAGAATCATTAAGAGCCGATTTAAAAAATGGACCTAAACATGTTTTTAATATTCATACGCATTGTAAACCATATTATTGTAAGACATCAATTGAAAATAGTGTTAATATAAACAGTTTACAATTTGAAAAAATTATAGAAAAAATTAATGACGTTTTAAAAATTTTAGTTCAAAAAGCACCTCAACTGACCACAAATGATACTTCAAATTTAGCAGAAAATTATATGTCATTAGTCGCTAAATTTTCAGGAGGCAAACAAATAAATAGAGGTAATAAAGGGTCCTACACACACCGAAGTTTTGGTGCAGCATTAGACTTTCAATTGGGTCCGGAATGGTCATATAAAACATGGAAAAAAGTAGCTACAAGTCCTTATTCGC